AAGTGTGCGACTTCAACATACACATTTATAAGGCCCATCTTCGTTATTAGTTTAGTTTGGGAACCTAGCGATGTCACAGAGCGATTACCCAGGTTTCATGTCCCAAATACCATATCAGCGGAGCGGTTAGTGAGCTCGTCTCCGAAGAGGAAAGTCCGGGTTCGAGCCTCCGTTTGGACACGGATTTTTTTCGCCCCCTCCAGCCCACCCAGCAGTAATGAGTACCTGACTTCGAGTTGGGGAAGTAAAGGCAGCGTTGAAAGGAACTGGCCACCCTACCGCAATAAGCCGAAGGCCCAGGAAGTTGCCTCACTAACAAGGCAATCCCCAATGTTAACATTATATTCTGCTTATGCTGGAACTATAAAGTATTTCCCCCCGAAGCCCGCTCACGTTTGGAGAGACCAAAAGCTTAAAATAATACTTGCAAGCTTTATCTTGTTAGAACAATAACATTAGTCTTCTCAGAGATAGTGTCAACTAAAACTGCATGCAATATCCCATTTTTTAAATTGTGTGTGTGAAAGGAACATAAGCATAGTAAAAGGGAATTCTCAAATTATAGGTCCATAGAATTGATAGAAAAACAGAGAAAGAGAAAAATAGATAGATATATAGAAATAGAGAGAGAGAGAGCGATAGATACACAGAGGGAGAAAGAGAGAGAGGGAGAGAGAGAGAGAGAGAGAGAGAGAGTGTGTGTGTGTGTGTGTGTGTGTGTGTGTGTGTGAGTGAGAGAGTGTTTATGAGGAAGGTGAGGTTTGGGAGAAGAGAAGAAAAGAGATAAAAGAGAGACAGTTTACGATAAACGTAAAATAATGGTCTCTTCCATAATAATACTAATATGGTATAACTCTGCCATCGTATTATCTTATCCCATCTCACCCAATTTATCTGATGGCATGCAGAGGTGACAAGTAACACAGTTGGAAGAACCAGAAGCTTCTTGGCTCGTACGTTCTAAAAGACATTGATCCATATCCCCAAAAGAAGAATAGCACATGGCTGGCGAGTGCTCTTTCGTAGTTTGCTCCTTCTTTCTTATCAAACATCTACCGTCCCTATCAAACATCTACCGTCCTTATCAAACATCTACCGTCCCTATCAAACATCTACCGTCCCTATCTCGACTCCTTCTTTTTTGTGTTTGTTACTCTGCTCTTGTAACGCCCCTTACCTACAGCACGCACGTG